CCTACAGGGTGAAATTTTGCATGGCTAAAATCAGCATGAGGAATTGCGGGTGGCAGGACGTAGGATGCCCCTTGACTCATATCCACATGGGTGGCGGCGCGTGGCTGTTGATTTTGGAATTGAGAATGGCTGGTGTAACGATTCATGGGGGGTATTTGGTCTGGGTATTGAGGATAGTCGTCGGCATGTACTGGGATGGATTGTTGTTGGTAGGAGTTCTGGGCATCCGGTGTGTGTGGCACACGCTGGTGCTGCTGGTACATTGCATGTTCCTGTGGCGGGTGAGGGCCGGCAGGTTTGTGGTCGACGTGGGCATCGTACGAGACTGGTGCTTGCTGGTAGTGATGATTGTGGGGATAACGCGGCTCATAGGTGTTCATGTTTGCGTCGTGGGTGTACTGTAGAGGGAATTTTGCGTGTATAGGTGAGGGTTGTGAGAAGAAGGAGGTTGCACTTGTCGGGGTAGGTAGCTGATGGTGCGGCGAGTGAAGGGGTTGCTGATGAAGAGGAGAGTGGCTCAGGGATTGCTGGTAGTTGAGGTCCTGAGGATATGGACGGGGACCTCGGGCGACTACTTGAGTGTTGATGGGGTCCAATCCGGGGACAGGACCGGTCTGGACATGGGAGAAGTCATAATTGGTCAAGGGCCGGGGCCGAATCGATGTCAAGGCACTCTCCTGGGGCTGGGTGGAGGGGCCGTTGCGGTATACAGGGTTTCGGGTACCAGGTAGCATGGAACTGTGGTATGGCAGTTCACTGACGACACCTGGGTGGTTGGGCCAGTCACCGATTGGGTTTTTGAAGACGAGGCGCTGGTTGTATCCCTCGCATTGGCGCTTTGATTTGATGCAATTGCCACACGTGGGCCTCTCTTCGCCACACTTGATGCGGCGTTTCCGACAAGTGAGACAGCCGGTCTTGGTCCTCTTTCTCATCTTTGGGTTGGTCGCGGTGCCACTTCCGGTTGGTGAGACATCGCCAGGACCCGAAGACGGACCTGGGTCTGCGGATGACATTGTCAGGGCAAGGTAATGTATCTCGTATCGATGTGCAAGTGGCAGAAACGAAGAAGAGGTTTCAGGAATTAGCACGCCAGCCAGGAGAGGGGGAGGGGGGAAGCGGGCGCTAGAGAAGGGCGATGCGGTGGTTGTGGTAGTGTGGCCGGGGCGTCAACGGTCGAGATGTCAGATTTGGCGGCAGGCGCAATGTTGAATGAGTAGTGAGGGGAGTGGTGAGGGGAGTGATGGTGGGGGAGTGATGGTGGGGGAGTGATGATGATGAGGAGTGATGATGATGATGATGATGATGATGATGATGATGATGATGATCAGTAGTGATGATGATGAGAAATAATGATGATGAGGATTGATGATGATGAAGAAGAGGAAGAGGAGAATGATGAGGGATCAGGTAGGACAGAGGTGAAGATTGTACAAAGATCCATGTGGAAACAGGAGAGCACAGTGAGAGAGATATACAATTGGAAGGAAGCACGTACCAGATGTCTTGAGGCGCCAGGGTGGAGGTGGAAGAGGAGGATGGATGGATAGGAAAGGCAAATAGGAGCCTCTCGCAACAAGCCACTCTAGGCCAGAAGCGCGCAGCAGGCGCGGGGGGCAATGATAGTGGCACACCTCAATGAGGGTAGCGGGCGGCGCTGAAAGGGCTGAAAAGGGTCTATTGTTCTGGAACTGGCAAGGAGCGGAGGGGTTTGATTCACGACAAGCAATTGGCCTGACGGTGCATCTGCAGGCAAGGACAACAAGGCTGGGGGGTTTTTTTTGAGGGGGAGGGCAGAAGAAACATGTTTCTATAGGAGGATGGAGTGTGCGGTAGCAATTGAGATGTGTTCGATTGGACCCGGGGAGGCCCGCATGGACCGGAGAGAGAGCTGGGCGGACAGGGAGAAAGACGGCCCGCGCTAGAGGGTGGAGGAAGCATGTTTAGTGCGCAATGTCCACCTGAATGTTTGATGCTCCAATGCTCCAATGCTCCAATGATCAATGCTCTAATGATCAATGCTCCAATACTTAATGCTCCAATGATCAATGCTCCAATACTCAATGCTCAGGCTGGGTTACAGAGGTGAGACGTGTGGCGGAGGGAGACTCGAACGGACGTCCATGTGGGCGTGCATATATGCATGGGCATGTGGATTGTGGATGTGGATGTGGATGTGGATGTGGATGTGGATGTGGATTGTGGATTGTGGATTGTAGATGTGGATGGACATGGATATGGACATGGACATGGACATGGACATGGGGATCTAGCTATGTGCATGTGCATATCCATGTGCATGTGCCTGGGCGGCGCCGTCTTTGATTTGACGTGTGCTCAAAATAGCTTTACAGGTAATTAGGTTCTAGGGGATCAGGGTAGAATCAGGGTAGAATCAGAGCAGAATCAGGACAGCATCTGACAAGGCTCAACTCTGGTTAGTGTGTACATGTACAATCTACGTATACGAGTAGCGTTTGAAAGAGAAAGAGAAAGAGAAAGAGAAAGAGAAAGAGAAAGAAAAAAAAAAGCTGTCTTGGAAGCCGCTACTGAGCGCCAAGGTTGCGGGAATAGGGCCACTGGATGCTCCCAACGTTCCCAACGCTTCTATTCAACGCCCCCTTGCCTGTTCTGATGAGTAAGCTCCCTTGACTGACGGCCAGACGAGTGCAGTCCCCATGAAAGTGCAGTCAGTCATGGAAGTGTAGAATAAACAAATGACATCCGGAACCGGCAAGGACGTGCCACACACATGCATATCCATATCCATATCCATATCCATACGAGAATCATGATATGATTTGCGCTAGCTGACATGCTTAGCCCCGAGCGTGGAACCCGGTTGACGGCGCCTTTCCGTCTCCCGATAACTTAACTTGCCATAGTATGACATGTCCAAAACCCATGACCTCCCATCTGCCCAACCCAACCTATGCATGTACATGATCCTGCATCTCTCCCTCATCGCGCATGCTCACAATCCACCGAACCCTTCGCTTACCGTCAGCCTCACACGTAAATGTACATGCACCGTACATGTACAGGCAGCCTCCTTGCTGCCAACATGCTACCACCATACTGCCACCATACTGCCACCATACTGCCACCATACTGCCACCATACTGCCACCATACTGCCACCATACATACTGCCACCATACTGCCACCACGAGGGCCGCAACCATGGCGGAAGAGGGGTCCTCCCCCCCCCCGCCTTCCACTTTCAGACACTAAACGGCAGGTATACCCGTCAGTGCAACGCCAAATCCCGTTTCCAGTCAATCCAACTGCCTCACCCAATCATTCCTCGTCGCATGCTCACATCATCGAGGCGCCAACAAGCACGACAGCTGAGACATAATCTCAACTCAGAAACATCAAGGCTGCAACCCGTCATGTAGTCAGTCCTCGTGTTGCTTTGCAGTTCCATTTATGCCGCTGCACTCTACGTGCACTCATTACGAGTTGATGATAGCCTGATGATTGATGCCATTTTCAAGTCAGCCATGTCCCCGCCCGCCAAACACTTGACAAGACTCTTTTCCCAAGTCTCCATGCATGACAGTTCAAGGCATCCCAGGTCTTGGCTTTAGTGTCTGAGAAACATGTCTTGAAACACCAAAAAGCAACCTGATTTCTCAACACGGTGATCTCGGCATGCCCCCGGACACCAAAGCAAACTTTCTGACCCTCTTGCTCGTGCTGATGACGTAGCCTCGTCCATGCCTACATACCTCTCTCTGAATCGAGTCTACTTTTTGAATTGCGCACAACCTGAAACATCTGACCTCACAACTTGTCCTCCTCCTCCTTCTCCTCCTCCTCCTCCTCCTCCTTCTCCTCCCCCTCCAGCCAACCGATGAAAACCATCGGTGACAACTCCTCGATCAACAATGCGACAACGACGAATACATGACTCGACCCGACATCGTCCTTTAGCCGCCTACATCGATCTGGGCTGATCATGATCAGCGTCCCGCAGGCCGGGGAAAAGCATCTTGTCTGAAGATGCCTTGGATGGCGTCTATTACCTTTATTGCCGCGAATGCTCTGAGCTTCAAACTGAGTCCAAACTAATCACTCATCAATCTTTCTTTTTTCATTTTCCTTGCTTGCTTCTCATGGGGAACAAGTCACCTCCAATGGAACGGCTTCGTTCAGGGGGGAAAGCCCGGTAACCGTGCCCACGTCGAGGTTACTTCATGTGCTGTGCCACACTTGGACATTCAGACCCAACTTCCTTTAGCGCAAAACTACTTGTTTGTATTGGTTATTCGTTTGCGCCAACGCGTTGAATAATAAACAACTATGCGTCCTGTGCTATAATTCAGTCTACATACCCCCCATCCATCCATCCATCTATGTACTGTACATATGTACATACATGTGCATATTTGTAGTTTTATTTTCCAAATTCGGCCCTTCTACCCCACCACCGCATGTAGATCCATTGGCACACACACACACGCACACACACATCCAATATTATCCACCTCTTTTTTTTTGCTCTTTGAAACATAGGATAATACTGGTATATAGACAGCCGAATTTCACAATGATTCCATCAAATCAATCCAACAAATAACATCCGATATGGTCTAGTGGCTAGGATTTGCCGCTCTCATCAGAGTACAAAACTTCACAGTGCCGGCAAGGCCCGGGTTCGATTCCCGGTGTCGGAATATGAATTGGTTTCTTTTTTTGTCGGATCCATATGTGAGGATGTGTCTTTATTTGGACTAGCGTCCGTCTCGTTAGCGTCTGGGCACTCACTCGCTTACTTCATGCCCACATATATATAGACTCACTACTCCCCCCCCCCCCACTATGTTGTAGATCTATCAAAACACCTTTTTTTCTAATCATATTGTCGTCCCTGTCGCTGCGCTTATATCCGCCGCATGACACTTTTTTTTTTACTCTACAGTGAATAAGAATGAATACCGCTATATATATAACCAAATTCCCCCATTCCTCCATCAAATCAATACAGCAAATACCTCCGATATGGTCTAGTGGCTAGGATTTGCCGCTCTCATCTTCAGAGTTCAAAACACTTTACAGTGCCGGCAAGGCCCGGGTTCGATTCCCGGTGTCGGAATATGGATTGAGTTGATTTCCTCTTTTTTTGGCCTTTTCTTTTGCTGGCTGGCTGGCTGTACAAATGGTACCACACACACAGGTTTTCGAGTTGCAATAAACAATCTACTTTGAGGTTTTTTTTTATTCCTTTCAAAATGCAAAAAGTGCATGCAGTGCAAGCATGTTGGTCATGTTCAAGTAGTAGTACTAGTAATTCTTCCTTCCTCTCTCCCTTCCTTCCCTTCCTCCCTCCATCTACCTACCACGGTTGCGTACCCGCCCTATTGATAACCAAGCCCGCATCCGCATCCCTCTTCCCCAGGACGACATCTCTAATGAACACGCCCCCCATACTCGCATCCCCCGCCCCGAAGCTCTTCAACCTCTCCTTGCCCGCGCCCCCCAAGCCCGTGGCGAGAAAGCCCGGGGAGATGGCGAATACCTTGACGCCGTCCTCGTTGAGCAGGCGCACCCAATCCAGCATCATCATGTTGAGCGCCGTCTTTGAACTGCGGTACGCTACCGCTGTCATTTCTGCGGGCTTCGGCCAGCCTTTGGGGACGCTGGTGCCTTGGGTCGTGGCGCTGCCCATGTTGTGGCCAGAGGCACATGTCGTGAGCGACGAGAGACCGGAGGTTATGAAGAGTAGACGGGGCGGCGTTGTAGTGCTACTGCCGGTGGGGGACGGGGCGAGGAGGAGGGGCATGAATGTCTGCGTGAAGACCTGTGTGCTGGTCACGTTGACCGAGTAAGAACCTATGGTTGTTTTTTTGTTATTGGATTCATCATCATCATCATCATCAGAAGAAGAAGAAGAAGAAGAAGAAGAAGAAGAAAAATAAGAAGAAGAAGAAGAAGAAGAAGAAGAAGGGGATAGAAAAGAGAAGAGAATAAGTAAGACGTACGATCCCATGCTTCGCGTACACCTTTCGGCCCTGGGGTTTCGCTTGCAATTATGTCGTACGCGGCGCCTGTTTTGTATATATATATATATATCAGTGTACGTGATCCATTCATCTCCAATTCCATGTCCAGGTAGGTTGGGTTGGGGCATAGAGATCAAAGACACGGAAGGGAAGGAAAGGAAAGGAAGGAAGTACTACTACTACTACTACTACTACTGACCCGCATTGTTCACCAACACATCCACCTTACCATACCCCCTCTTCACCTCGTCGAAGCATTTCCCAATCGACGCATCATCCTCGATATCGATCTGTATGGGCACGATATCGCTCTTGGATGATGATGGTGATGATGATGATGATGATGCCTTGATCTCGTCTTGGATCAGCTTGATGCCGTCCTTGGCCTTGTCGAGCGACCGACTGCCCATGAGGATGGTGAAGGCGGTATCGGATTCCGCGAGCGCTTTTACGGTTTCCCAGCCGATTCCCGTGTTGCCTCCGGTTATGAGGACGATTGGTTTGCTCATCGTGCGAGGATTTTATTGGCCCTGTTTGGAGGGGGGGTTGAGGGGTTTTCTTCTTCTTCTTCTTTTTCTTTCTTCTCTTTTTCTAAAAAAAAAAAAAAGGTCAAGTCAAAAGTACTAGATAAGAGGTTGGGCAACATGTGCGTGGTACGAGGGAGAAGCCCGACCAGAGGAACTATGTATACTTGTATAGATAGATATTTAGTCGCCACAGGTCACAGGTACAATGGTAGGGTTTCTGCAGCCTGATGTAGCGGCGAGCCTGCATGACGTATGCAAGGGGGGAGAGGGGGGCTCTATGTGGGTGTGCGGATTGTGATTCGATCGCCCGAGGGCAGCAGCTACTGTATGTATGTATGTATGTATGTATGTATGTATGTATGTATGTATGTATGTATGTACATGTTAACGCCAGCCTTTACCGTAAGCCCGTTGATTTATGCAGTCATTTGTCTAAACCCATCCATCCCGCTCCATCTCTCCGGATCGGAGTTTAGCTTAGGGCCGACATGAATCCTTTGGGAACAAGTGAGATTTATGTAATTAGTTTGGCCGATTCGGAAGAGGATTGCTGGCCGAGTGTAATATTAATATCAATCTAGCTGTTGGATGGAGCAAATTCATGCGTGATATTGGCGCATCAAAGTAGCGCCGCTTCGGAGGCTGACCAGAGGCCGAAGCCGAATTCCGCGGTCCAGGTCATGCAAGGCGACATGTATCCTTCTCGTACGTCTTGCTCAAAGCCAAGGAAACAGCAATCTTGAACCCTGCGTGGTGACGGAATATCTGGGGGTTACATTGGCCGTAGATCTATATTCAAGATAAGCTATGCTTAAACTAGAGATGGCTGAGAAGCTGTCGAGACGAGCCAATTCTCCCAAAACCTCAACCCGTCTAGACCTTGCTCCCGACACAGTGTCCCGCTCTCCTCTGCCATCTCCAACTCTTCCGTCGCTACTCCAACGCTCCACCCAAACCTCTCAGCAGTCTCCTGCGCTGTTACGCCCCGACCGTACATCCTCCAGTCCCACGTCACCTTATTTAGTGGAGGTGTATTATGCAACTCGCGTAGCCAAGCTAGTAGACTTGCAATCGTCTTCTCGTCAGTTCGGTCGCGGCCTTGGACCACAAGTAAGCCACTCTTGAACTGTCGAAGTCGAATTGGCAGCTTAAGCTTGTCCCACATCCTTGCAGCCTTCTCAAAATCCGAAGGACTGACAAGCTCCACTCCACCTCTCGCGCGATTGAACATGGCCCAGAGATCAACTAGCGTCATGATGCCTCCTTCATTGCGAAGAACCCCTCTTCTATCATCAGTAAGCCACTCGGCCAGATTTCTTGACAACTCAGATACGTAGAGCGACTCCGAGCCGGATCCGAGCATATCCTTGGTAGTCACGAGACCAAGTGCCGAAGCAGATCGGGATGCGAGAGTGCTGGCTTCGGAGCTACCATTTGTGCCCAAATTGGCCTGTGAGGCAAATTGCTCGGCAAGGGCTATGATCTCTTTAGCAGAGGTCATGAGAGCTTCGAGATCCTCGAAAGCGCTGCCGATCATGGCCTCGTTGTTCTTCCGTTGCTCCAGTCCTCTTCTTTCCAATCCTGCTATACCAACCACCTTGTTACGATCCAAGTCCCTAGAGTTTCGCTCGGATCCGGTTGTGTATGTATCGTCAAACGTGCCTGAATTGGGCCGTGGTTTAGGAATTGGCGGTGCGCTCTGAAGAAGCCATTTCCGCTGTACCAATGCATTCTTCAACCGTTCATAGAAAATCTTCTCGCCGCCGCTGCGGAATGATAGTTTGATGCTTTCAATGGTCTCAGATTGCAGGGGTGAAATGTTGAGGGAAGGCCCTGGTGATTCGGCTCTCGTAATATTCTTTGCCGTCTCTAAACGCTTGTCGATTACAGAAACGAGAGAAGCACCGCACATTTCGCAGTTCATTAGAGAGGGGTGGTTTTCAAAAGTACACCTTGGACACAAGCACGAACTGGCACTTGGCCTTGCGGCGTCTTTGGAGATTGTAGCCGTCAAACCCCCATTCCTATCATCCTTGGGCGGCGGTCCAGGAGTCGGCCGGTTTGTCATTGCGTTTATCGCTGCCTTCACCACATGCACTAACGGTGGTTTTATCCCACAGGCAAGACATGGCGCAAGTGGTGTCCGAGCGTTCGCCGTCGCAGGATCGAAGTTCGAGGGCACTGGATTCGAGAAGGAGCATATTGGACAGACCCAGGTCGCACTATGGGATGGTGTCGGCACGGGAGAAGGCGCCAGTGAGCGCAATGGACTGTCTCTCTCTGAAGTTATGGAGGATGGACTCTGCGTAGAGCCAATTGATAGCGAGGCCCTGCGTGACAGCTGTTTAGAGGGTTTGGGATAGAGGGTTATCTTGGGCGAAGACTTGAGGAAACCGGCCTTCACCATGATCAGCATTCATACACTCTGGTAGCAGAACCCCCACCAACCAAGCTTACATAGAAGTCTGGCCGCTCGACATCCTTTAGATTGATAGCTACAGAGCACTTCCGCGGCTCGTCGTGGTCTACATAGCAGGCTCGGTGGGACGTCAGGTAGGCTTGACCATTCTGATACTGGGGGATCTTATATTTCCTGCAAGTGGTCAGCAACACGACTGTGCAGCAACAAAGACAATGCACATACCCTTCATACAGGCCCACGGCATCTTGCACAAACAGCAGCGTCTCTTCAGGTAGCAATGCGGGCCGCAGGGCGGTGGTGAGGTCGAGCTGATGTAGAAACATTCAGGACGTGCGGCACGCGAGAGATGGTCGTCGCTGACATGGCGCCGCATTCGCAACACATTCACTTGCTATCTGTTGCACCAAGGCCGTCGTCATTAGGGTGCCAAGATACGCCGAGCGTCTCGCTAATAAGTCTGGGCAGGTGATTGCTTCTCGACTCCCTCTCACGCCGCCCTTCGTCCCACACACACACCGCACTCTCGCACAATCACCATCACCACCATCACCACCACCGTTGCTGCTGCCGTTGCCGCCGCCGCCGCCGCCTTTGACTCCACTAGATTTGATATAGACATCTTTTCCGTAAGCTCCTCTGATTGCGGTGAGGCCGCCGTCTTTTATATTGCAAGCGCGCGTCCTTCACAACATGTCCTTTTCCACCACTACGTGGTCCCAGCCACCGCAACACCAACAGCCCGCCTACAACACAGTCACCGCTAGAACCACGTTACTAAGGCACATGCCCGCACCTGTAGGTATTCCCATGGTCATTCCAAGCATGGCGCCACTCACACGTTCACCGCAGAGCGAGAGCACGATGCCACCTGCTTCCAAGCCAAAGAAGGTCGAGTGGACGCCCGCCGTCCGCGATTACGTCGCGCGCACCTTTGACCCGGAGAATGCCGTGGCAGGCATCACTCCAGCTATGGTGCAAGCAAAGACGAAAGAGGTCATCCAATACTTTGCGGAGAGGAACATGCAGCAGGAGATCGACTGGTCAGACTATCCCCTCCCGCAACAACTACTGGCAGAAGAACGGAAAAAGGCAATGGCTGCGCTCAGCGACGGTTACGCGCACGTGAGCTCTCCAAATGAAATCA